AGGCCGGAAGCGGCGCTGACGAGGGGCTGGCGGAGCGGGGCGCTGGCCGGTGAGCGGGGTCGTGGGGAGGCCCGGCAGGAGGCTGCGCGTCCGGGACGGTGAGGGCAGTTCTCCCGGCTTTTCCCGGTGAAGCTGGGGGGTGTCGGGCAGAAGTAGCGGCGTCTCCCCAGAGGAGGGAGTCAGTGCGGCCGGGTCGCTGAGGGCTGAGGCAGGCGGCCTGTGGCAGTGGGTAGTTCGCCGGGCTGGGAGTGCGGGTATTTCTGAGGCCGGTGGGGAGTGAAGTCCCACGCCTACAAGGCACGGGTAGGGAGAGGGGTGTTGTGAAGTGAGGGATTTGGCCAGGACTTTGGGATTAGCACACTGACAGCCCTGAATTTAGGGGTGGTATTTTTCGGCAGTAGGAGCTGGGGCTTGGTCTACACCCTGTTCTGAGGAGCTCAGGGTCCCGCGCGCCTTGCTTTTCTGCTGAAGTGGTGCTGGCTTGCAAACTACCTGTTTTACCATCTGTTTTACTCCCAGCTTTGCTGCTTGTCTACTTTTTGGAAGACTCAATCTGTTTGTCAAGCAGGCTGACCCTTCTTTGGCTTTACTGACACCGGGTAGCAAAAACTAGTTGCAGGCTTCCATACCCTTTGGGATGTGTAATTGAGCATGCTGCTTCAACACAAAAGATGAACCTTTTAGACCTTCTCAGACACAGAGCACTCAACCCAACTGCTGCAGTAGAGAGAAATCTGTGCCACCATGGCTAGAAGAGGGATTTAACTCTTGCAGAAAGAAGAAGTGAGTGTTAGCCCAGGAAGTGGCAGTTATCCTGCACTGGGTCCTCCCAGGTAGCTTCAAAGTAAGTGTCTAACTCCGTTAATGTTACAATGGCTCTAGCATACTACAGTCCGGTGATGTGTTGGTAGCAGTATTTATGTCCGGTGCTAATTATTTGTTGTCATTTTTAGTAGGCATTGCCAATGGATGAACTGGTGCATGACTTGGCTTCAGCTTTAGAGCAGACTTCAGAGCAAAACAAACTGGATGAGCTATGGGAAGAGATGGCCCTAAGCCCGCGTCAGCAGCGGCGTCAGCTTCGCAAGAGACGGGGTCGTAAACGACGCTCAGACTTCACACATCAGGCAGAACACGCCTGCTGCTACAGCGAGGCCTCAGAGTCAAGCTTGGACGAAGCTGTTAAGGATTGCCGTGAGGTGCTGACAGCTAATTTCAGTGACTCTGATGACATGGCAGTGGTCAAACGACATCCAGCTCTTAGTGCCACCCTGAGGAGCAAGCAACACTTGTGGCATGAGTCAGACTCCTTTACAGAGAATGCACCCTGTCGACCTCTCAGGCGCCGACGGAAAGTCAAACGTGTGACATCAGAGGTGGCTGCCAGTCTCCAGCAAAAGCTCAGGGTGTCAGAATGGAACTATGAGAGGGGCTGCAGGTTCAAGTCAGCCAAGAAACAGCGTCTTTCACGCTGGAAAGAGAATGCCCCTTGGACATCATCCAGTCACGGCCTTTGCGAGTCAGGAGAGAACAGGCCCTTCCTCAGCAATGGGGGAAGGAAGGAGCGGATGGAGTGTGAAGCTGATGATCAGAAACAGGGCTCAGATGAAAACATGTCGGAATGGTGAGATCTCGGTTTCTTCTCTGTGCTAGTCAGATGGCCGCCTTGCTTGCAGCTGCTTGTAAATGCTGTGCCTTGCTTTTTGAAGTTCTTAAAATTATTCAGTGCTGCTCTCTTTTTGAAGATGAGAAATATCTCAGCTGCTTCTAAACTGTAGATTTTTTCCAAGTCTTTCCTGTCAGTACTGTATGATGATCCAGAATGCTTCCTTGAAAAGTTGGCAAGCTGGTATGTTTCTGGCTCTTGTTACACAAGGAGTCCTCTGAAATGTCTGTGGCCTTGCAGCTACAAGGTGGCATGCTTGTGGCCTATGGTTTGGGGAATAAACCCACAGCTGGCACTTGAGTTGTGTGATTGATAGGAAGTGATCTCAGTTTCTTGTTTTCAGCATTTACTATAAGTAGTAGTAGATAACAGATCCTTATTGCTAGCCCTCTGTGCAGATACTGTGTAAACCTCAGTCTAACCTTGCCTGCATTTCTACATTTCCACTATTAAGCTGATCGTCAAAGTCTAGCTATGGGGAGAATGTGGTGAAACAATGGAAGTTATGGGGAGCTTATGTTACTTACAGGATAAGCCTGTGCAAGCAGTCGAGTCTGATATATTGGTGTCCAGTTTTGGAGAACTTTGATGATTGTGGCAGAATTATATGCAGAGCATTAAAATGAGACATGCAGATGTCATGGTCTAAGTTTGTGTTGCGCTTTGGAATTTTTTTCTCCAAGTGTGAATTTTATTCTCTCCGTTGAAGGTTTAGGATAATAAAACTGCTTCTGTCTGAAGAGTTTTTTCAGGTTAGAAAAGAGGCACCTGTTAAGAATCAAATGGAGGAAATTTCTTAATCAATAGCATACAAAAAGCAATTGTGATTGCTGATTTTCTAATAATCATTGTGTAAGAACAGCAGACATTGAGGAGACATTTAAACAAAACATATTATTTTTCATGAAACATGCAGTCTGGAACTCTACTGCAGGACATTTTAGAGGTCAAAATTTAAGTATGTTCAAAAGGGAGATGTGAAGCATAGATAAATCAGGAGCTGTTAAACATTACAGCCCAGATGAAAGATCCCGCTCAGGAAGTCCTTAAACTGCTGACTTCTAAAAGCTAGAGGAGCATACAGAGAAGTCTGTATTTGTCATGTTCTCATGTTCTTTTCTCAAGCATTGTAATATCGCTATCAAAAGAGAGGAGATTTGGGAAGTCTAACTCTTTGATACAGTATGATTGTTCATATGTTGAGGTTCACTTAAGTGTTGTGACAATCTAGCTCCTGTACTTTGTCAGAGTGGACAGGTGGCACTTCATTATTACGGCTTTGTGGATAATAGCTGGAATTGCAAACTTCTCAGTGGTATTTCTCTGTGAAAAGCTTAGGTTATAGTAAGTCCTCTCTGTGGTCTAGGGAACCACTGTTGCATTTTTACAGGGCCAGTTGTGATAAGTAGCATGTAACTCTTACGGTGTGGTCACTTTTTTCTTTCAACAGTGGCCGTTGTTGCTAAAAAGTGGGTGTAAAGTGGGGCTTTACAAGAAACTTGTGAATGGAAACTTCTTGTTACTACTTGTTAAAGTAGTTTTATCTTCTCAGAGCTGTTTGCTCTTAGTCCAGGAAAAGAGGTGTGCTAAGTAGCCCCTGAAGAGTGCATGTCAGTGGTGATGGACTGAGAGATACCCTTACTAGATGTGGCAGTGATGGACAGTTTTCCTTGAGTTGGTTTTTCTAACACCAGTCAGAGTCTGTTCCATCATGTCAAACTTGAACTTAAACCAGCAGGCTTTCATCCAGCCTTTCTTTGTGCCAGCCTTGGAAAGAGTAAATAAAGAGCTATGTCCAGACTGTTACTTGAGGACCATGCTGGGAGATGGCTTTGTTCTGTCTCAGTTGTCCCTTGCTCTCAGACTAATTATTGTGCTAGTGTATGCATCAAATGACACTTACCATCTGCTGCCAAATCCTTGGGACTCTCTCTGGAAAGCTAGTGCTTGGAATATTTGACCTCTCCAACACCACATGTGTGATCTGTGCTGTGACTCACTAGGGAGGGCCACAGTTGGAGGGAGGAATACATGCAGCCCTCTTCACTGCAGAGTATCCCTCTCAGCAGTGAAGGATCGTGCTTTGGTCTCCGCTGCTCTAAATATAGCACTTTGCTGCTTGCAGCACAGTGAAACTGACTGTGTTTGCCTCACTCCCACTGTGCTATAGCTGTTTTTTCTGGTACAGTAAGAGAAGTACTTTTCACAGATGTATGACAAGGGCATATCCTGAGGAAGGGAGAAGAAAACTGGATGCCTGGGATAGCAAATGGTGTGGTTGTCATCACAAGCTGATGGGACGAAAGGTGACTGGTGCTGCTTGTGGGACTTGGAAGCAGTCTGTGGTGATCTGGTGATTTACAAAACTTTTATACTGAGCTGGTTCCACTACTGTTCACCCCTATAACAATAGGGGATGTGACAAAACAAAATAGGTTTTCAGGCAAACTGTATTCAGAGTGGATTTTTTTTTTACCTTCTTTTTCCTCCCCTACACTAACAGTTGCTTTGGTTTGTTATACAGGAATGAATCTGTAAATGCTGAAATATCCACTATTTTCTCTGCTTTGTAGTAGGCTTCTAATCCTAAGCCAGGTCAAAGACCTATTTATTCAGTTGGAAAACTCCCATTCACTGAGAAAGTCTGGAATATGTGTTCTTAATGAGGAAATGTTTTTTTCCTGGTTTGCTTGTGGGACTATGCCCAGTCCTTTTCTGGAGGAAGATGAGCTGCAGTATTGTGATTCAAATGTGCATTATAATGAAATCTTAGAAATGTGTGCCAAACACGGCAAAAGGTGAACATAAATTGAGAGAAGATTGGATGTGCAGGAACATGATAAGGAAATGATGATGGTTCTGAATTGGGTAATGACATGACCCAGTGCCTGATTTATAAATAATTATGCAAACAGAAGAAACAAGTGGTTTTAGTTTAAGCAATTGTTTGTATATTGTACAAAGGTGACAATTAGCTGCTAAGACTGTTAGAAGTAACATGCCTTTCCGTCCCTAAACGTTTTGAGATTCCCTGCAGCCATAATAAAGGCAAATTATATATTGAGTGCTGAAGTTTCTTCTCTTGTTGGTCTAAGCTGAGTATTTCTAGAATGGTCTGGGTTTGGTTTGAGGGCAGAACAAATCATAGTACAAGAGCTGTCTAAAAATCGCTTTGAGTAGTGTGTTTACTTGTGAAAGATATGCAGTTGGTCTCATCTGTTTTCAAGTACCAAAACTCTTACTGTTACTTTTTCAAACCTGGGGTTCTACTGACCCACCAGTGCTGTGAGATTTCACTGCCTTAATCTTGATGTGTTTGTTGTGGTTTAACCTGGATAGGCAGCTCAGCTCCATAAAGCCACCTGCTCACTCCCCTGCAGGGATGAGGGAGGAAAATGGAAGAGTAAAAGTGAGAAAACTCTCAGCTTTAGGTAAAGCAAAAGCTATGTGTGCAAGCAAAGCAAAATACAGAGTTCACTACTTCCTATCAGTGCGCAGGTGTTCAGCCATCTCCAGGAATGTAGAACTCCATCATTTGTAACATTCTTTGGGAACACAAACACTACAACTTCAAATTTTGCTGACTTCATTCTTCTTTTTCCCAGGTTTTATTGCTAAGCATGACATTATATGATGTAGGATATGACTGTGGTCAGTCAGGGTCAGTTGTCCAGCCTGTGTACCCTCCCATCTTGTGCACCTCCAGCCTGCTTACTGGCAGGGCAGTGTGAGACAGCCTCGGCACTGTGTAAGCACTGCTCAGTGATAACTAAAACATCCCTGTATTAATAACACTGGTCACAAATCCAAAACATAGAACCAAAGTCCTACTATGAGAAAAATTTAACTGTGTGCCAGCCAAAACTGGTACAATGTTCTGGCCTGAGAATAGGAACATTTCCCATCCTGAATGTCCAGTTAAGTTGCTTTACCCTTTGGAAGAGAGCTGCTTTGATGACAGTCTGCAGTTGCACTCATGAGTCTGGCTAAGCTGATGAATTGGAGGCCAGTCTCTCCATAAAAAAAAAAACATAAAAATTCCTCTCTCTTGGAAGGCAAGTGACAAAGACAGAGTGTTCTGCTTCCCCTCCTTCTCCAGCCCAGCCTGACCTTCTGCAGCCCCTCGGTGCCTCTTGTTTTCTTATTTTTATAGAAAATCAATATCCCTCTTGACACAAACAATAGCTCAGGCAAAAGAATAAATGGGGGAAACCTGAGATCTCTGTCCATCACCTCTCTGTTTAACTCCCCCAAAGTATTTAATTATAAGCATGCTTTGCTCCAGGTGTTTGCGACAGTGAAATTGCTAAATGAGGACCATTTTAACCAAAGATTGGGTGATCAATAATACTCTATAGCAGTAGCTTGTTGGATCAATAGCATTCATTATTTCATGGTTAAGGTAAGTAGCCTCCTTTGCAAGTGGAGGTCATTAATCAGTGCTTACTGGACCTGCAGAAAGGCCTGCATAGGAGTCTAGGAGTTCTAGTTTCTAGTGTTCAGCCCTGCAGTGTAAAAGGGGTAGTGAAGAGGGTGAAATCCCTGAAAGTTTGTTCCTATAGAGCACTGGCAGTGATGCTTATCTCCAAGCAACTAAAGAGCTCTCAGTGCAACAGGATGCTTAAAGTACTGTTAATATGACCTGGATACTTGTCAGTGCTTTTTCCTTTCTCAGACACCTTTCTTCTGAGGATGCTAAAACCCTTATGAAGCTGTTTCTTGGTCCTCCCATCTGCAGCTTGTGAGGATTGTTTATCCAAACTATCAAAAGGGAAAGCAGGCACACTAAGAGATTGGCCCAGGGTCATACAGTGAGTTGGTAGGAGAGCTTGGGATAAAACAATTAATTTGTGGTTCTCAGTCCTTGGCCGTAATTGCTGTGGTGTATATGTGGGAGGATGAATGCACAGTCAAGTTTTGTAATGGATTAATTTGGAATTTAATACTAACTTACATGCTGGAAGGTGAGAATGCTGTACAAATTGTTCATCCATTAAGTATAAATGGCCTTTATACAATGATGAAGATAGCAGCATGATGAGTTAACTGGTTTGAACTTTACAGTGCATTTTCTAAGAACAGCAATATGCTCACAAAATAGAGTTTTATTCTGTTCCTGCAGTTCTTTGGAGTGACATACTTTGTGGTCCCTCATCATTCAGCCTTGTAAATCAAGGGGTTTCCAGTTGATACTGGTCTCTAGTATGATCCAGTTTCCCTGGAAAAGATGCATCCAGAGATACTTTCAAACAGCATTCCCTGATTGGAGACCAGTTCTAGCACTGACTTATACCTGGTATTCGCATCTAAGGTCTTAGCGTTCAGGGAGTAGGCAGTAAGTAGTTTCTGCTTGTCCTAGAATCTCTTGGCTAAATCAGAGGAAGCATTGCCTGAAGTATCCAAGGAATGATTTCAGGTCAGCATTAAAGCCTTCAGATGCTTGGGACTGACACGGACATGTACTTCTACAAATATTCATCTAGCTTTGTAGTCAATGGCTTTCTACACATTAATTTCTAGCTTTATTATTTTGTTGAAGAATTAAATCTCTCAGTGCTTCAGCAAATGCAAAGCATGCTATGACAAGGTTACATTCAGCAGCAGCAAGTCATGCTGTGCTAAGGTATTTAGCTGGAGAGTTGTAAATGTCGCAGCTGCTCTTTACTCCTTATAGAATAAAAGTTTTGGGGGGGTAAGCTGTTTGTGTGACAATGTAACATTTTTGAGGAAAAGAAATCTGAAGTAGAAGACCTAAGAGGGTTTTCAGTAGTTGTTAAGTGACCCAAGGACAGAGTTTTTATCTGCATGTGATTTCCTGGTGAGTATTCGAGATGATACCATATTTAGGTTATTAATTCTAGTACCCGAGGCAAATGCCATTTTATTAATTACTTCTTGATAACTTAGAACTAAACTAGATACAGGATTCTACTCTTTTTCAAGTGATGCAGCATTGATAAGTGCAGTTACGTTCTGTTCTGGAGCCAGTCATGTATCTGACTGAAATAAAATTTTTGTGAGACATGTAAAGCATTTTGGTCTTGGAGAAGCTAGTAAAATGTAGTTTTTGTATTGTGCTGTTGCCATTGTAACCTTGTTTTTTTTCCTCTGTTTTTATTCCAGTGAAACCAGCAGTGTTTGCAGCAGCAGTGATACTGGCCTGTTTACCAATGATGAAGGCCGCCAAGGTAACAACTGTCCTGTGATTTTCCTCATGAGTTTCTTACTTTCTTTATAAATGCAAAGATCTATGTTTGAAGAGAGACAGAGAGAGAGGTGTGTGAGGAAAAACCGGTGGCAGGGAGTGGCTAGAAGTTAAGAAATAAGATGAGGGCTACAAATGTATGATTTTTCATAACACTACACTTTTCCTGATAAAATACTTTGTGCATCAGATCCATAATATTTGCAATATAAGAAGCTATTATTGTGGAAAAGCACAGACATACAAGAGGAATTTGAGATGTCTTCATAATGAAAGGGCACAGCTTATGATTTTTCTGTAGATGTTTTCAGTGTCTACATACCATTACTGCCTGAATCTGTTAGTTGTTTTCTCTATGGGCAGGAAAAGAAGATGGGGGGAAAATTATGTAATACTGACAAATCACCTAATAGACTGTGCTAAGAAGATGATGGAACTATGTGATTTTCTTTGTTTCTTTAAATATGTGTTCCTACCTTGCTCTTGTGTGCATTAATTGAATGTGGTATTTTCAGTGTCTGTTGTAGAAATGGTATCTTAGGAGTTTTGAGTGTGAAGTGCAATCTGGTTTTAGTTACCAGCCACAGCACAATGTTCAGTTGATGGGGAATATGGCAGAAGTAAGTGTGAAATAGGTTGTAGTAGGCATATAGGCATTGAGGACTGTTACATTTGGAGCATGTGGAATGCGACCCTAGAGACCTGCAATTCTGTGCACTCTGATTCTGTCACATTTCACAGGCTAAGATTTGGATGAGATCTCTTCTGGGAATATACAAGTGCTAAAGTATAGCTCAGTAGAATATGCTGCTTCCACTAGCTTGTTAATGGCCCAGGTACCTGTGTGAAGCAACACAATGATAGCAAACATGCTTTTTTGTTTTCTGATGGTATTTTAGGCTGTCGGACCAATCTGTTGTCTTAGGGGAGTATAATACTTCCCTTAAGAGCAGGGATTTCAAATATCAGCTTTGACCTTTGCTGAAAAATAACTGTTTCCAGACTCTGGTTCTTCAGAGACAACAGAAAAGTAGAATCTTTTGCCCTCTTTTTACTGATGATTGTTCAGGGGGAGCTGAAATTAGTGAGCACTTGTATATCAGATGACAAAGCAGAGTGGTGACTGAAGTGTTTTACTTCATCACCTGACACAAGATTGATGGAGACTGGGTAGTATATATATATATATACACACTTGTCTATATGCTTGTCCTATATACTTGCCCTGATTTTATATCCTGTTTTAGACATTAATTTTTGGCTGCTACTAGAAGTAGGATGCTCAATATACAGGAACATGTAGAAATATTACTTAGATAAATTAATAAAGTCCAATTACAAAGCCTTCCCTGTTTAGGTAAGAGAAGAGGTTTGACATCCTTGTCATCAGGTCTCTCTCTGTTCAAACAGTTTGTACTGTGATAGCTTTCTGGCCAAGATGTATTAGCTTACAGTTCCATTGAAAGGGTTAAAAATATTGTTGTGCTTTCAGACTAAATAAAAAATACCTCATTTTCCTTTTTTTTCTTGACAATTCTTAGTCAGAAAGTAAACAAAAAAACAACAGCTTTCCATGTCAGTGAGATGGAGCAAGCACAATTTTTTTTTGTCACAGATCATCACCACCTTATAAATAGTTTCTAGCACAACTCCAGGCTGAATAATGGGAAATTTAAACTGGCAGCATTCTTAAATGCAGTTTTTTTCCCCTCCTTCTTTTGAGGTTGCATCATGTAATATTTGTGCTTCTGCTAATTAAATAAATCATCTTTGCAACTGCACATACCAGCATGCTTCTGTGAGAATGATCCTAGTTCATAATTTGATTGTAAGGTGGGGTTCTTTTGGTTTTATATTTGTTACATGCCTTGGGATCTCTCACAGTGACAATTAGTGAATATTAGCATATGATGCTGATCATTAAAGTTTGTCTTGTGAAAATAGTGATTTGAGGTAGACTATGCTCACAGACCCAAATTTCTAGGAGTAGTTTTGCACAAATTATGCTCTCTTAGGAGAGCTACCCAATGTTACTTAATTTGCTGTGAAGTGGAGGTGGGGTTTTTATATTTGAAGATATAACTGGTGGGTCAGCTTGATTCATGACAGAAAAAACAATGTCAGAGCTCTAGGATAAAGCGTTCTGGTTGTCCTCCTACCTGTTGCTGATCGGAGTTGGTTTTGTATGTTGCTGCTTCTGTTATGTGCAAGACTGCAGCATTCTTACTAGGATGAGTTTTTTTTTACTTTCTTGTATTTTTTTTCTTTTTTATGTTTTTCTTTTTTCTTTATTTTTCTATTTTCTTTTTTTTCTTACTTTTTTTCTTTTCTTTTTTTCTTTTTTTTTTTTTTTCCTTTCCCAGCAAGACGTGTGAGGCATAATGGACTTTGGTCAGGAATAATGTAACTCAGTGAGGAAAGGAGTGTAAGTGATGATGCTTGAGTTGAGACTTAATGGTAGGCAAATGAGAATTTTCCCTACACTAGATGTGTTAGTTTTTTAAGGCAAGATTGCAATTGCATGGGACCGTGTGAGTTTGGCTTCTGAAATGCTACATGTGTCACGTTCTTTGCTGTCCTCCTGCTTTTTTTTTTCATATGCTGCTCATGTGCTACTGCTCTGAGGGAATTTCAGACAGATTTACTATGAACAGTGTGATGCAGTTCAGTTTTGGGCTGCAGCTGTGTGAACTACAGTGATCTAGCTCCATGGAGACTTTGGTCATGACTTCTGATGCTGCTACCTTAGTTTTGCAGAGGATTTGTAGTTCTGAGAGATTCTAAGCAATTTTGATTGAAAGCAGCTCACAGCATGGTGCTTGAACTCAGAGTGACCAATTCAGATAGTTCTGTATTTTCGTCTTAGCTGCTGTCTTAGCAGACTAGGGGTCTTTCTCATCAGTATGTTTCTTTTGCTTACACTGTGAGCCTGGTCTTCCCCTCTTGTGAGGTCTCTCCTGTGACAGCCTATAACATGTGCCAAATGATTGGCCTCTTCTGGTGTCGCAGTAATTACTTCAGAGAAAGAGTTCTGCATAAGACATCACACAATGTTGAACTAAGGTTGATGAGATGCAGTAGCAACAGAGTGCTAAACCTGCCCTAGGCAGGTCTATAAAGAGGCTTTGTTCTATAGGGAAATTCTGGAGACTGATGAGTTGGATAGTTTAAAGCATTTAGTGAGGCCCCATAGTTACTGAGGATCATTGAAACAGAATACAAATATAAGACTCTTCAAGAACGAATTCTTAATGAGACTTCAGCTGTTTCACATTCAGATGTGCCTACTTGTAGTATTTTGAGGGACTGTCACAGAGTACACCGATGTTATTTATGGCTAATTCCATCCTATTTCTTTAGGAGATGATGAGCAAAGTGATTGGTTTTATGAAGGAGAATGTGTTCCAGGATTCACTGTCCCAAACCTTCTTCCCAAGTGGGGAGCTGATCACCGATCTGAAGTGGAGAGGATTGACTCAGGCCTGGACAAGCTCTCTGTTTCCACCTTCCTATTGCCCTCACGGCCAGCTCAGAGAGGTGAGGTCCATAAGGAATTGTGTATGAGAACTTTTGATATGATGGCAAGAGTAGATTCTGTTCATAGGTGTTGCATTTAAACATTGGTAATTGGTGTAAATATTGGTGATCTTTTTTTTTTTTTTTTAAATCCAGTTAAGAAAATGCTGCACTATTGGTGAATTTACTGAAATAGTCATACCAACTTCCCACTGGCAGTCTTCCTTTTTTTTAAAAGTAAGGATTTTATTCGATTTGTGAATAAATTGGCATAGCTACATCTTCGAGACTGAAAAACAAGAGACAGAGGATTTGATTTGATTACTGAACTAAGGAATTTTCCTGGTGGTTTTGTCACAAAGAATCTTCTGTGTTCATTGCTCAGTTTTTCTGTGTTTGTTTTTCAGGATTTCATGCTCGTCTGAATCGCCTTCCAGGAGCTGCTGCCCGTTGTCTCCGTAAAGGTCGGAGGAGGCTGGTTGGCAAGGTATGCCCTTTTGAAACATGGTAATTTTGTATTTCAAATTCTGATCAGTCCTGAAGTGCTGTTCTAAGATACCATGTAAATTGTTTTCTGCAGAAAGTGGTCCTGTATATTTTTTGTTTCATATGTTGTTTGATTTGTTTAACTGCTTTGACTGTCAGAAGATGATTGAGTGACTAAGTGGATTTTAAGGCACATTTGGAGTGGCAAAGACAGCTGATCAGTGCTGAAAGCAGTATGAAAGGAGACCTCAGGAAGAATGACAGGGAGCATAAATATCAAGAAGATTTAGACACAATGTAGGGGAAAATGATGATGGCATGAGACTTGGGCATGCTCATCTGAGACTACAAGGGGAAAGAGGTGCCTCAAAGGTGAAGGAAGGCCAAATTTTATATAGGAAAGAAGACTGATATGAATGGCAGCAAAGGAAGGTGGTTTTAGCAGTTGCATTTTTAGTTGGAAGACAGGAGAGTAAAAAGGAATATACAGTAAATGCAGACAAAGCTGTCCAAAGCTATTGACTAGTTTTATTATATGTAGGGCAAACACCAAACAAAATAACAGTCCTTTTTTAATAGAAAAAAACGTACTTTGCAGATGTCTGTCTAAAAGAGAGGGGTACACCTGGTTAGGTCTGCATCATGGAGTATTGAGTGCTGCTGTTTGTTGTAAAAGATGGTTCTGAGAAGGAAGGTGTTGACTGTGTTTGGCTTTTCTTCTTATTGTGATGTGCTTCTGTGGTTTTGAAAACACTGGCATAAATTCTGAGCTGGCTGGCCAGTCTGCTAACAAGGTGTGATAGGAGGGCCGGAGTCTAGAGGCATGCGACAGCTGCCTTCTGTTCAGTCATACTTGAAAGATCCTTGTCTGCCCCTTCTTTCTTCCACTCACCTTGCTTAATTGTAACCGGCATTCAAAATATGAATCCTCAGCTGGCAAGAAACTGACTTACACGTAGGGTTCCTGAGGCCACCTGCAAGTGGCTGGGCCTGGCGGCATACCTCTAATGATCCAAATGAGAAGGATAATATTTACTTGTTTAATTCATCTTCATCACCTTAAAGGGATCTTTGTCATTTGCAGCGGAGGTCACTGCTCCCCCTTCCCCATCTCTCTCGAAATTGTAATCATAAATAATGAGTTTCATTCAGAGCTCCCCGCCAGCGAGCTGCTAATTACCAAAAGTATGGCTTGTAATTTACACAGTAATAAACTGTAAATTTAAACATTATTGCACTTTAAGTTAATAATTTTCCTGCTGTAACAAATAGCCCATGTTTCACCCCTGCTGCTACAACTGCCCCCAAACTTTGAGTGTGTTTTGCCTATGTGCCTTGCCCAAACAAACCTTATCTGTGAAAGACTTTTGCCCTCATCTTCAGCCTCTTGCTGAAAAGTATACTTCTTTCTTGGAGGCAGTTGCTATGCAGATGTGAGCAGCTGGTGCTTCAGGCTGTGTGTACGTGTATGCCAGCATTGAGCACATACACAGGGCAGCATTTTGCGGGAAGCAACATGCTCCCAGAACAAGTCCTTTCTCCTAGGACCTACCTTTTCTTTAGTTGCTGGAGGTCCTGCTGCTGAATTGCTGCTTTCAGGAAGGGCAAAAGCATCATGCTTTCACTCCTTAATTTATTCATTGGTGGTTGGTGAATCCCCACTGTTAATGGAATAGTGCAGTGTCCTATCTCAGCCTGTTTGAAGCCAACTGATATCAGTAACACGAAAAGAAGCACTTCCCAGCCATCTCCCCTGCTCTCATGCATCCTTGTGCTACATACTTTGTTCTAGTCCAGTTTATGGTGCTCCCCTCTGCAAGCAAAAATCATCACTAAAATAAAAAAAAAGCCTCATAAATAATATTGAATGATTTTCTGCCATTTTAACTAGTTAAATCATCTCAGGTGAAGTTCTAAAAGGAAGGAGTGAACATGTTTAGGTGAGAGTGGGCTAATAAGGAAAGGATGTGACCCAGGGGAGTAAGATTAGTTCTTACTGGCAGCAGCAGGCTATTCTCTGCTTACTGTGTGAATTTGCAACCTTTTACCTGTCTTTGTGTTTCAGGAGACCTCCATGAGCACTCTGGGCACCGAGAGGCTAGGTCATATTGTTAGTGATCCACGCCAGAAAGAGTAAGGCCCTTAACAGCTGTTGTATAGAACTTTGGGAGGGGGAAAAGATCTGTAGTATCCTCTTCCTTTTGGGGGTGAAGGACTTGAAGAGCTGGGTGGACTCTTAAGCATAACCTGTGGGAGACAGTATTCTACTGAGGGCTTCTAATTGTAATTGCTGACTTCCCCTTTGTTATATAAAAATGTTTATATAAGGCTGCCCCAATGAGTGGACACTACTCAAATGCCCCTTTTTTCCAGTCAGCTTTTTTTTTTTTTTTTTCCCTTATAATGTGACATTGCAGTAATTGCAGATTTTTTGGACATTAAGAGAAGACTGAGCCCCATATGCTCATTTTTTAAAATGCTTCTTTGTGGAGCTGTTCTTTGGGCGCATACCCAGACTGCAGAAATGATGCTGACAAGGCAGCTGTGAAATTACTTTTACTTTCTTTGGTGTTATGTCTCCTTCCCCAATTAGCATATTTAAATTGTAGTTAGCACTGGAAACCATGTGCTGGTTATCCTTTGGCATCTCCCTAATGCTGTTTTGGGGAATGGGTAGATAAGGATGGCATGTCTTGACTGTAGTCCAGTGGGTCCAGCCTTCACCAGCTGTTGATACCTAATTTTCTTCCTTGGATCTGAAATTTGTTGTTTTTAATATGACTCCTGATGATATTTAATCTTTTTCCTTCTCCCTCCATCTTTGTTCTTCCCCTTCTCTTCTTATCCCCAACCCTCATTTTTTCCCCCCCTGTGTTTGTTCCTTGGCATTGCTCCCACCTGTCCTTTCGACTCTGCCTCCTTCCAGTTTTTGGTTACCATCCATGGGGAAGAGAGATCGCAACCAGGTAAGGTGACTCCGCTTTTCCTTTTTTATTTTCTTGGTTTCCTTCTCTCTAGAATGAACACAGTGCTGGCTTCTGATTTCCCACACACTGTGGCCTGTGCACATGAGGTAAGGCACTCCTGTCCCTTCTCATTTTGTTAACTGATGTCTTCTGGGCTTTGAACACAGCCCACTTCTCTGGCGTTGTTTTGTCTATTTAAACTGAATAGCTCAGGAGCTCCTTTTATTTATCTCCCTGTTTCAGGTTATTGTAGGCCATCCTTTCTGACAGTGAGTGGGAGGGAAAATACTTCTTGACAGGAGGAGCTTTGGCTTCTCAAAATTCCATAAGAATTGGAACATTCTTCTTTTTTTTAAGTGCTTTGTTTTGCCTTGTTTGGCTCAGGCTTCTACCTGATAGTCTCATCCACAGAGAAGGGAAAAATTGGTGAGCTTAAATGACATAGTTAAATAGCAGTTGTAACAGAAAAATGTAAGAGGTGATAAGCAGGAGAAATAGGCATTCTTGTAACTGAAACTCTTGTGTGTGCACTTTTATATTCTCCAGTAGGTCTTAGCTTCAGTGCTAGGAGTTGTTGTTGTTTTTTTTGGTTTTTTTTTACTTTCAGATATAAAATCTCAGGTTCTTAATAGAAAAGAGCAAATAAACCTCTATCCCATTTAAGCAGTCATGTTGTAACACTTCCTGGCCATGTACACTCCTTTTTATTCCTATGCAGGTTGTTTTATGGTTGGTGAGCAGTAGGACTGAAATTTTTTTTTACCTTTCAGGTGACTAAAAATGTGTATATGACAAGAAATAATTTTAAAGAAATTGCCTTTGTGCAATTGTGTATTTTCCTTTAGTGAGACCATTTTACAGATTGTTTTTATACTGCTAAAGATAAGAGTAACTACATAAACTTTAAAATGACCAAAAGTAAGTAACTTTTGTTTTACATAAATGAATTTGTATCAGCCATTCTAGTATTAGAGGGTTCCTGGTGATTCTCCCTACTGTGCAGTTGCAATGTTACATCACTGACAGTAAATTAGCAGTCCCACTTAAGGGGGAGCTCCCTGATTGCAGCAGCTTTGTGATGCATCTTCTTTCTTAGAAAGGTGGAGGGTAAAGGCCTAATACTGAGTTCTGAAGTTGCAGATGGCTTGTACGATGAGTCCTGCTACAGGTGTGGATTGTTCCTTTGTCCTTACTGAAAATTCATCAGTAATACTAGTAATACATGAAAAGTGTTCTGGAGATTGGTGTAGCACTTTGAAAAGAAGATGGGAATTAATTTCCTGCTTGAGGTGTGAGTTATAAATAAAGAGGAAGTGCCTAATGAGAAATATGAAGCAGGTACCCCGGAAAAACTGCCAGTCTAAGGCTTCTGTTTACACATTGAGCAAAGTTTGTTCCATGCATTGATTGACCAGATTATTGCATTTCTGTCCTGACAATTAAAAATCCTGTCTGTTTCATCTTCTACAGCAAACTGTCTTGCACAGGTTTGATGCCCTCAAGATTTGTCTAGTGTATGTCTAACACAGTATCTTAGATTAGTATGACCATGCATTGCTTCAAAAATTTGTTTTAAGCAGTTTGCAAAAGCAGCTTGTGAGGTTGGAGGGGAGTGGAAGGAGCAACTCACTTGCCATGGAATGAATTGAGCGCTCATTGTGAACTTAACCTGGTGGATGTGAGTCTTCCAGAGGTCCGTTTCAGTGATATACACAACCCTTGGGACTATAGGAATTGCTCTATGCAAGGAAAAAGTTCTGTGCTTCCACAATTCATAAGAGTGACCTTTTTCTCTGTGATGTGAAGGTAGACAAGAAGCTTTCTGAAAGAGAAGCAGACTTTTTTCTCATGGCATTCAGCAATAGAGCACTTACACTCTTAGTCAACCAGCATTTTTAATAATGCAGGTTGGAGGAGTGTGGTGAGGCTGTCTGTTGTGAGAAGGTGGTTATGAGACTTACTGTTTCACCCTTTGTGCTACCCTTTTGTCTGAAGTGAGAGTCTTTTCTCATCTAGTCTTACTTACCCCTTGAGGTGCCAGGAATGTCTCCTTATAGTGTGTGAATAGAACAGATCTGAGGAGCTTTATCTCTATTTCTAGAGAACTATTTCTTTTAATGCTTTGCTTAAATAAAATCTCTTGACTTTCCAGTTCAATCCATTATCTCCTCTGTACTCTCTGGATGTGCTTGCTGATGCTTCCCACCGAAGATGCTCACCAGCACACTGCACTGCCAGGTAACTCCCTTGCTCTGCTCTGCTCTCTTGGGTTTGCCTCACTTCCCTCTCCTGGATGTCTTCAGCAGTACTGTGTGATCTGAACAGTACTCATGGACCTGTAACTTAATGCACTTCTCCCTGGGCAGCTTGTGTCCAAATTTAGCACAAAACATAGCAATGCAGTTTATTTGAGAGTTTCAATAAACTACTGTTTTGTAGGTACAAATGGACATAGTATCATTGCCCACTTTTAGAACTGGAACAAGATGAGAGGGAAAATGCTGACAAACTGGTGTGGGTAACATGCTGAAGCATTTTGGTATCCTAGGTGTCTAAAATAGACCCTCTGAGCAGATTAAGAACTCACCTGAGGTGACCTCTAATGGCTTGATATCTCTCTATAGCAATAGCTGAAATTTAGATCTGGTTTGGCCAGATGTTAGGTATATTTGAGTCTGCATAGTTCAGGTTAATATACTATTCAGGCACCTTTTGCTGACTAATCCTAAATTAAATTCAAGTGCTGGCCTTAGAGGTGACTCCTGTTTTTGTGCTGCAGGTGATACCTATAGGTAAGGTGCCCTTGAGCTCTTTCCCTGTGCAAGTAGACAAAGCCTTGCTTTGGACACAATTCTGCTTATGTGCTTGTACCAGGGACCCAATCTGAAAGAAATGTCTGGACTTTCAGCTTCATGGCTTTCTTTCCCTTGTTAATTAGCAAATAGAGCATGAAAAATGTACTAAGGTTGTATGTGTCTGAACAGAAGCTTGGCACCCACCCAGCAAAGCCTCTCTTCCCACTGGCTTCTGCAGGGAATTCTGCGGTGTCGCACCATGACCTCATGCTGCTGTAGCCAGCATGTTAAAGCTGGAAAAGGGGAGGGAGGAAGAAATCAGCTCTTAAATGTTCAACTGGATGAGAATAAAAAGAATTCAGAAGACTGTGCATCAGCAAATTGATTCCTTTCTGTGCTTTTGCCCCACTCTGGGGATGTTTTTCTGCCTGTGAAGCAAGAAGATTGAATGGTCTCTTCATTTTCATCTAGGATAACCTTTCTTTTGCCTCCAGTGTTTTACTTGGTGCTTTATGGAAATTTGTCTTCCAGAACAGTGAGCTGGACAAATCCTGCTTGCAAATTCAAACTGGGCAAAATCTCTACCTTTATGACAGTCAGTGAAGGCCTTTTCCAAAGCCAAGCTCTTTGCAAGGGATTTCTAAGCCTGGAGAGATTGTGTTTGCTAGGTTTTTCTGGGTGTATAGTCTAGTTAACTAGTTAATATATATGTTTGGTTCCCTCCTCTAATGAACAGGTGGCTGGTGTCCTGACAAACATAATCACTGATGAATTGTTCCTGAGTTGGCAGAGAAATTGTATCATCCCAGATGCAGTCGTGTTTTTAAATGCCTGAAATTTGAGAAAATAGTTCCTATTTTACTGTGAAATGTGCTCAAGAACCTTTATAGTAGAAAGAAATATGAAAAGAATGAATGTGTTTTGTGGCCCCCATGTATGTAGCAAGGATTGAACTCTTTGGTACAAGGAGCTTGCATTATGTAAAGATGCTGATAAAGGCACAGAAGGAAATTGTTCCTTCAGAGAAACATTTTCTTGATAGTAGTTCTTTAGCTTTACATGCCAAGCATACTCGTTAGTAGTCCATTTTCATCCATTTTCTTATAGGAGGTTTAGCTGATCTCTGTAAGCCCAGATAAGTAATGCCCTAGTTAACATCTCCTGCCTTTGCCATGTATGGAATCAGTTTCAGTAGTTTGTGCTTTAGGAAGCTTCTAACAGCTTGCACCTTGTTCTGGAGAAATTCTGCTCTGAAATTTGCCAGAATGGGATGGGTATGTGTGTGGAAAGCAAATCCTCTGAAATACCATGAAACATATTAGAAAAGACATGGTCTTGATGTTGTGGCCAACCAGTTTCTTCAACCTGATGCCTGCTGTGCCATGCAAAATCTCCTTTCTCTGCTTTGTTTCTGCTATCAAGGTGCATGTCCAGTAGAGTATATTTACTGAGTGGAGTCCTCTCTCTGCTGTGGAACTATTTTCTTTGTCTCAATCATTTTGGTGCAGTTTATGTGGAAGACTGGCAACCCAGTACTTTTGTTTAGGCAGAACTGAAGGCCAAAGTACTGAGTGCAGCTGAGTCTTGAGAAAGAACCTCCTCCTTGACACTGACAAGCCTATGTGGAAGGTTCCTTGGGAAGTCTTATTTGAAAGGCAGTAAAAATCGTACACTACCTTTCTTGATTTATGTCTGTGATGAGAAGAGCTTTCATTCAAAGTGTATGTACAGCACTGGGAATTTCACACCCATCATTAGAAGCAGTTTTGTGTGTGGTGACTGTTATCATTAGTGGTATAATTTTATTTTGTGAAGCAAGGAGAGTTTTCTGCTTTCTTGCAGTCTTCCCAAGGGATGGCTGGTGTATTAATTTGCTGTATTGCCTCCTGGCTGTTCCCAGACTGTTTTTCCTCTTCATCATGGAATTTTTAATGGCCCTGCTGCCTCTCGGGAGGCATGCAAGGAAGAGTACCTCAGGGATCTCTTCTTTTTTCACATGCCTATAATTACTCTCCTTTAAGAGCACAAAACGTTTGCTAATCATGTCTTGTCTGTTAAGGTTTTGACTTCATGATGCAGACTGCTAAAAGCAAGTAAGTAGAGACTTAGATGGGCAACTCAAGGGATCCTTGCCTCTTTCCCCTCTGCCTGTTTGCCTCTCTGAGAGGAGTGGTCTGAACAGAATTTTGTTGTTGAGCTCCTTCTGCTTAAGAGGATTTTGTATAGGCTGAAATTGAGTACCTTATTAGATGTTGGTTATTCAATATTCTGTAGCTGAGAAGATGTTGTAGGTTGTTGGCTGATGGAATGCTATTCCTTTGAGTCAAGGTAAGAGTTTCAGAAGAGCCTAGAACCAATGCTCCCTTTAATTTGAATAGTAGACAGAATAAGAGAAAGGTAGAAGATAAATTGTCCCTAATGCTGTTTATTATTTGCCTAGCCTTGAAAATAGGATTATGAGTGAAAAAAAACCAATTAAATATTCCTACTGGAGGTCATAGGAAAAGTGGACCTTGGATGGTAGGTAGATGTTGAAGGTGGAGGCTTGAAGAACTGTATTAGACTTTTGAGTAACACAGATAAAGAAAATTGCTTTGCATGTACTTTGTTAATACTAACTGTAAATCTAGAGTTTAATCTGATATAGAAGCAAGTCTTTCATTTGACTGGAATATGGGATAAAGATATAGGGGGGCTGAGTGATCTCCTCATTTGCTGCCTGTTGCTCCATACTCTGGGTTTGGTGGTGCTATTAAACTGAACAGACTTGAATGTCTCAAATTCTAGTTCTAGCCCCAGAAATACTTTTGTGAAAATAAATATTGTTCTGCCACTTCTTTATCTGTGCACAGAGATCTTGATATTTCTGCTTCTTACCCAAGCATGTGGAAATACAGGGAATGTCTGCAATACAGGCCTTTTCTGAGGCAGCTGAAGGAGTGAACAGATGCCCACAATTCCATATTTTCCTGCTTGGGCAAGACAGTATTCAGTTCATTTTAGGCAGCCTATCTCCCCGTTTTGGTTTTTTTTTTTTTTTACTCTTTTTCCATTTAGCTGGAGGATTTTCATGTCTTCTTTGCTAAAGCTTGGCTAATATTCCAGTTGGGAATATAACTGAATTCTTCTGACAGGCATGCAATGAACAGCAGCTATCAACCTAGTGTCACATGCAGTTGACTGAGGCCTAATATTCCCATTTTGATGAATCTTAATTCTCTGGACTGAAAAATAAATTCCCCTTGGCTTCAGAATTTTTTTTTTTTCCTTGCTATTTCAAATCTGTGTACTCAGCAGATCTGGCAAACAGTAGGAGTCTTTCTGGCACAGATACAGTGTGATTCAGTGTGAAAATAGGGAATATAATATATGGGATCACATATTCTCTGCTTAGAGTGCTTACATGGAAAACAGGAAGAAAATGCATTCACTTGCATTTGCCACATGCAGACTTTTAGGAATAGAATTGCCACATCATTATAATGCTTACTTGGGGAACAGACTGCTTCTCTTGAAGATCTATGAGATTTGGATGATCGAAGAAGTGAGCTAACCTATTAGAGATTTTGGAGTCTGAAAATGTGCTCTAGAAGCCTTCCCAAGAGGCTCTGCAGGGCATAGGAGACTGCTGTGCATCGGGAATATCTACACTGGGATGTGATAGCAAGAACCACTTGTGTGTGCGGGAGCTTTGCATGCAGATAGGATGAGCAACTTGTATTGATTTACACATGTTATGTGCAGATTAGACTGGTGCCCAGCTGGCTCTGTAGTCAAAGAGGAGGAAGATTTCTGCTTTTACTATTAATTTCGTGAAGCCACCATCAACAGCCTCAGGTAACACCTCAGGGCTTAGAGAAAGAGCCTTTCATTTGGTTTGTGTTTGCTCTGAATAGAGCATCACAACAGCAACAGCTGGGTTGTGTGGAGTTTTAGTAGCAGTATCTTTGTTAAAAGGCAGTCTCTATTAACATTCACTTTAACATGAGGATAATAACATCCCTTGTTTTTATAGTAGTAGACTAATGACTGCCTCTCACTTTCACTGTATAATCCACGTGCTTTGCTTCTTCTAAGGATAGGGTTAGAATAAAGTGTGTAAGCAGACAAGCTGAATATTATGAGATGACCGTGAGAGGCACACACCCACAAGTGTGCAGTGTGCCTCTTGCCTTCAAAAAGGCCACAGGTTGTCATGTTTAGCTCTGTATGAGCTAAAGAGACCTTTGTTGTGAGATTGAGCTGATTTTTACGCTGAATTTTAAGAGTAGACTTCATGCTACAATTTAGACTTCACAGATAGAAGCTTTCAGGGTCCTGATGCTGTTCTAAGATTCTTTGTGGGCTGGTGACTGCTTGTGCTCTGTATTTTCTCCTACAGATTATATTGCCAATCCTAATTTTCTCTTGAAAATTTTTGTTGAAATACTGTGGTAGATGTAAAACGATTTCTGTTGAAATACTGCGGTAGATGTAAAATAGCATCAAGCTCCAGTGCATGGTCATCTCAAACTGTAGAAGTGAGATGGGAGTCCTGTGTATGCAGGTACTGGTCATTAGAAACCATGTAAATAAAGACATAGAATAAATATGCAGAAAAGAAATGAAAGGAAGCATTACTTCTGACACATTAGAGACTACCATGAATTTAATCTTTCTGCATAACAAAGCCTGTTTTTTCTCCAGCATGACCTGCATGCAGAACTGAGTACCATAAGTACTATGTTAAAAACAAAAACAAAAGACAAAAAGTATTTCCTGAATGATTCCTTTAGTGTGATTACAAAAAATATTATCACTGTCAAAAAGACACTATAGACTTTTCATATTGTTGAAAGCCATTTTTCCTATACATGTGTAATTTTTCATTTACTAACTCCTGGCAGTGACTGCTATGTGAGTTGAATATATTGCAGCCAACAAAACAGCCACATTTTTGACCCTGATATGTTGCTCTAAGTGTGTTCTCCTTTTTCTCTTCCAGGGTCAGAATTTCAATCATCTCTAGATTGTAAACTATGTTTTCATGTTAGTCTCATAGTTGGTTACATCCACCTGTGACTAAACACTGCGACTTTTTTTTTCTTGTGATAAACCTTTCATAGTCCAAAAGAAATCAGGGAATTATTTTCTCATTTCTGTTTATGCAACACTGAAGAAAGCATGGACGCCTAGCAGAAGAGATTGAAGGCTAGGAAAGATAGTGTAAGCCCTGTTCTAGTTTGTAAGTTTAGTCCCAGATCTTCACAGAGAGGGCTGAGACAATGCGCAAATACACCTTTTCTGTCAGCCTTTCCTGTTATAGTCTACTTTAGAGTAATTTTTAACTGTTCAGAAGAGTTGGTAAAGTTCAGGAGAACTAATTCATCATTGTAAATTGTAGTATTTTCATGTTTTATAATTCAGCCTGTCCACTGCTATGTTGGGAACTGTGCATATCCATGACTTGATTTTCGAAGTGGTGGTGGTGGTGTTTGTAGGAGTCTATAGGAGTCTGCTGTTAAACTGGGATTCACTAATTCTGTTATCTCACTGATAGAGATCTTCATGCAAGCAAGTTACTAGAAATTTACATTGAAAAGTGAGATATCTACCAAAAATCTGCATATTTCATAAGCTATACCTCAGACATGCTTTCTGTCCATGCCTTAATGAGGACTATCATCCCTGAGTGCAGTCATCTGCTCTTCTCTCTCCCAAGGTACTTACCACCTAGAGATTCCCTGCATGCAGATTTATGGTGCCTGTAAAGTGCACCAGCCACTTGAAATGACATTTTTACCACTGGGTCAGTCAGAGCCAGTGAGTAATCAATAGGTTCCTGATTTACTAACTGAAGCGTGGGTGATCAATAAGGGATAAACCTGAATGAAAAACATGTTACAGAGACAATTTATGACCTCTGAGCCTTTGTATCGTAGAGGCAGGGCTACTAGATACAGCATTCTTGCTAGTAGTCTTCAACTGAAGTATTATTTGCTTTTACTTCCACTACAGTAAGGGATTTTGAGATTATTCTGTTTTCATTTTGATTTTTTTTACCTCTTGTGTAATCATAAGGTAAGTGTAGATGTTTGAATATGTAGCTGAGAGCCAGGAGCTCTTACGCAAAATCTTGCTGTAACATTTGTGAGCTGGAAAAATTGCATAGTCTCTTGGAAATGATAGTGCATACTTCTTTCCTAGTCCACAGTGATTCTAAGTATCAACTGGCTAATGTTGGTGTAAGTTCATAAAATTAAAAAGGGAACATTTTAAAATTATTTTTGTTATTTTTATATGAATTAAAATTAATTAGATTACTATATACACTTATGTAGTTGTGCAGTTAGTAATCTAATACTGTGTCACTGGTGCAAAATAAAAAACAGGATCTTTTCTTCAGGTTATGTGTGTTTAGATGTTTCAGAATACATGGTTACAGCTATGTAAAAACACTGTATAGCCTGTGTTATAATCATGGTCAAAAGCAGTTTTAGCATCCACAAGTTAATTAGAGGTGAGAGATTTGAGTGTGCATTCTGTAGGTGTGCCAGTATTTTTGACAGCTTTTCACCTCCAGGGATGGTTTCTCTAACCACCTCCCTGGGCTGTTCATTCCAATGTCTGACAAATCTTTCCTTGAAGAAAGTCCTCCTGATACCCAGCCTGAACCTCCCCTGGCACGGCATGAAACTGTCTTCTCATTCTTCTGCCAGTTGATTGGGAGACCCCCACCTGGCTACACCTTCCTTTCAGGTAGTTGTAGAGAGTGATAAGTTCTTCCCTGAGCTTCTTTTCCCCCAGGCTAAACACCCCCAGCTCCCTCAGCTGCTCCTCAAAGGGCTTGTGTTCCAGAGCCTTCACCAGCTCCATTGCCCTTCTCTGGACATGCTCTAGCACCTCAGTGTTCTTGTAGTGAAGGGCCCAAAATAGAACATAGGACTTGAGGTGTGGCCTCACTGAATACAGGGGAATGATCCCTTCTCAGGTTCAGCTGGCCACCATATTCTTGATCCAAGCCATGATGGCACTGGCCTTGGCCACCTGTGCGCATGCTGGCTCATGTTCAGCCGCTGTTGAGCAGCACCTCCAGGTTCCTTGCCTCTGGGCTGCTTTCCAACCACCCTTCCCCCAGCCTGCAGCAATGAATGGGGTTGTGGTGGCCAAAGTGAAGGACCCAGCACTTGGTTTTTGGTGAGTTTACTGAGAGTACACTCAATCCCCTCAGGAGACTTCTTTGTCTGGTTGTATTAATATATGCTCCCAGGTTTAAAAAACTGACTGCGAAACACAGCACAATTTAAAAATTTTTGAAACTGTTCTTTAATGTCAGATTTAGAGGACAGATCTTACAGACTTCTTGTAGAACTTTTGAATTTTAGTTGAGAAGATGGAACAGTAGTTTAATTCCTTTATTTAGTGGTTGCACTTTTTTTTCAGGTAAATAGATAGACCCAGCAGCATTCAAACAATTTATAGACTGGACTAGTGTAGGAATTTCTTTGTGGTCCCTACACTGTTCTGTATAGATACAATAGCACAATTTGATTTTGCATAAATAGAGGATCTAAAACAATACATATTGTAAATATGTGGGTTTGGTTTTTTTTAATAGATTTTTGTAATGGAAATAAAAACCCATGGATTTTTCCTTTTTTTATATTTCAAAGGCTTTAGTATGTGATAAAAATGTTTGTTAAACTTTCAGGATGTTTTAAAAAGATCAAAATAACAAACTTTGAAGATAGTGAAGCTTTTCAGCACTTAGTCATCAAAACTTACATGGTTCCAAATTTCATACCATCTAAGCTCATCACAGTCTTTAACTGATATTATTTGCACTGTAGTTCTGCATTTTGCACATCAGATCTGATGATAAGAATGACCAAGGAACTTGCTAAAGGAAGTCTGTTACATCAGACAAAGAAGGGATTTGAACCCAATGTAATTTCTAAATTATGCATTTATATTTATTATGGATGGTATTTGAGGAAGTTCTCTGGTCTGCTGTAAAGACTGTTATTTGTGAGTTAAAGTTCTCTGCTTCCTTACAGGTATATGACTTGAAGGAGTTCTCAGCTCAAGTCAGTTCCAACAATACAGATTTCTTCCTAACTGGCAAATGGCTACTTCTTAATTGGCAAATGATTAAACTGAAACGGCCATCAGTAGGCTTCAGACTTAACAGTTGATATTAACAGGACAGATTATGCCTTTCAGCCAGTTTAAAGGTACAACAAGGCTGCCAAAAGTCAGATTCAGCTGTTTGCACAGCACTTTGATAAGAAAATAATGATTTTAAAAACACGTGAGACAGTCTTGCATTCTTAGCTTTACAAACTTACTATTGTAGTAGAAATAATATGCATGGACATTTGGCGTTATGGGTACATTCTAAGATGACTCTACAGTACCAAATAGATTGCAAAATAATTTCTGACTAAGGGGCAAATATCACACAGTTTATATAAAGAGCAATCTTGCAGACATTTGTTATTCTTGCATATAGAAGTAATGGTAGGACACATGCCATATAACTGCTTGGTCACATCTTTATGGATGCAAGGAGTTAGTTTGGAGTTAACAAATAAACAGGCAAAGATATAATTTTTAATTTAAAGGCTAAGATATAATTATTCTTCTGAGCAGTTTATGTATGAGCTCTTAAAGGAAATGGGAGCATAATTTATATTTTGCCAAAGAATGACAGCAAAACTCCCTGAGAAACTTGGGTTGTGCTACTGACTAGTTAAGAAGGAGCTGGACTTGACTGGTCAGTCTTACAGAAGTGTGATATTGGAGTGGAGTTTAATTTGTTTCATTTTCTCCATAGGCAAGCAAATGTCCACCTGGGACCACCATGTTCAAGGGACATCAAGAGGAAACGAAAGCCAGCTGCAGCCTCCATGTCTAGCCCAACATCAGGTAACCTGACAGCATTTTTATAGTCATGTCCCTTTTGAGCAAAATGCCATAGGCAAAAGTGGTGTTACTTTGGTTTGAAACTAATGAAATGTGTGAGAGAGCATATCATGTGTTTTTGCATAGCATCAAAAGCTGCCTACTAAACAAATTTTTGGCAGTGTAGCAATGTTAAGTTAATATAATTTGCAGTGCTTCACCTTACTGTGAATAGTAATGTACTTCTTCATAAGGTGTTATTTCCACTGTCCTAAATCATGCAGTTTGTGGTAATAGAGAGCTATCAGTGTGCACAGTGTGCTCCTTTATTGTTGGGCTGGCATTAGCTGGTGGCTCTGATGCCCTTTACCAGGGTATTTGTAGACAATTTCACAGGAGCTAAAATCTGGCAATTTTTGTATCATCACTGGGTGAAACCACTTTTTCCCTTGGTTGTTGTCTTATTCTTCTGGATGAAAATAGTTTTTTCTTGTTACGTGGATGTAGTCATTAAAATGCTTGTCTATTTTCATGTGGCAATTTTCTGAAAAGTCATTGATTAGTCATTAGAATATGAAAAAGCTTTAATCTGGTGAACATGGTGGGTTTTAGGATGCTTCTTTCTGTTCTTTCACCTTACCCTATCTTGCTACTATCCACTGACACATGTTCTTTCAACTAGTTTATTAAATAAATATTCTTGTAATCCAGTAACAAGGTAGTGGATAAGATGGTGGAAAAAATGGAGATGTGAAAACAGTGGGGAAGACCAAATAAACTGATGATTAATAGGAAGAAGATTGTTTATTCCTTGGGCTGGTGGATAGACAGAATAATGAAGTAGGGAAGAATGCTGAGTTTTCTCTCCAAGCCATTGATCTGGATTGTAAACTTTCAGAAGGGTTCTGTATTAAAAAAGAAAAGAACATTAGTAACCTGTTATTCAGCAAAAGTCTCTTCTATTATTGATTATTTATTTAGGTTATTCTTTCCTGGCTTTTGAGTATTCCATATATTCCACATTCAAGCTTCTGTAGTAAAAGGGTAGTATCCGAAATCACAGAATCTTAGCACTGGAATATTAGATTTTCTTGGTATGAGTGCTAATGTCTCACTGTCCCCTGTTACCTGTCCATTTATTTATTATTCAGAATGTATTCTGTACTGCATTGCTGATCACTTTATATAAGGAGAGCTTCTGTGTCCATGCCTACATGATTCAAAATGCTATTTAAGTTCTACTTCCCCGATTAGGCAAATTGTATAGTGAACACTTTTGGAAGAGTTGAGAGTGCATCTGGACTGAAGCTTAGCTCTGGAAAATAGCACAGGGGCTTGGAAAGCTTTCTTATTATGGATGAGGGAGAGAGGATTATTATGTATTACAAAATAAGGAAGAAGTTTAATTAGTAGAGTACAGGCTGATGCTTATGCTGATCATCAAGATACAAGGTCTGCAAGTGGTCAGAAATGGTAAAGATCTCTTCCTCAGACCCTGTTCAGAAATATCCTCAGCCAAGTGAACAGCTGTGGGCAGGGTTTGCTGCAATACTGATTTGTGGAAAGAAACATCTGTGATTGGGTAGCTGAAGCTATGTCCTAAATGATGTTCTACTGTAGACTCCCAATTACAGTTGAAGCACAGCCTGGACATTTAACTTGGAAACTTCTGGAATCTGATGTAATTTCTGTCAAAGGAGATTTTGCTATGGAATTACTAATGTCTAAAAAGATATGAAGTATCTTTCTGCAATAATGTAGAATTAATTGGACACTCTTACGTTGGATATTGATGAGATAAAGATTTTTCTCCCTTGCCACGCATCTACTCACCCCTATATAAATGCCATATACATGTGACTGAGGAGTCAGAGCAGCCTCATTTTTTTCACTTCTGAGGCTTTTTATGTTTGTGGTGTTCTGCAAAAGGTGAAACACACGTAAATCAAAATGCAGGCCCATGCCTGTCATGCAGGCACAGAGTGCTGGATTTCTTCACCTTTAAATAGCTCCTTCGCTGAGTCCAACTGCTCTCGTCTCACTTGTTGACCAGGTCCTGCTTCAGTGATCTCCTTTTTTGCAACCTGAGTGCCCCGTGGAGGTGAAGGACACAGCCTGAGCTGGCTTCATCAGTCAGCAGAACAAATGGGCTTGCTCTGCCGAACATCGGGCCATCTCGGATTCCACCTCTTTTATAGAGATGAGTGATGAAGAGGGGCTCGTTCCGCTTTGCCGCTGTATTAATACACATCAGGGGCCAGCTCCCGGCACTAAATCACGCTACTGCATACATCTGTTATCGGACTCCTCACCAGTGTGATGAACAAGACTGCAGATAGAGGCTTCCTCGTGTCATTCTTTATAGGATTTTCCTAAAAGAATAAATAGCTCAAATCTCTGCCAACACTATCCCCTGTCATTGTGATGAATTTAGCTTCTTTCTTAAACATGCAGCTACAAATCTTCCCCTGTCGTCTCACCCCCCCACCATCCACAGAAAGTTTTGAGTTGAATTTGGCTGAAATCAGAAGATGCTTATAAAAGGCAGATGAAATGTGGGTGCTATTTCCTTCCTCAGTGCAGGAATGAGTAAAGGCACCTAGATATAATGTTTATTTGGAAACCAAGCAACTAAATTAATTCCATGTCTTCTCACATACTTTCATGCAGAGACCCTTGGATGAACATCAAAAAACTGCATTACTGTAGAAGTGCCTTGCATCTCTGTTGTATTCCTGTAGTATTAAAATTCTGGTATTAATACTGCTCTCTGAGGCTAACTGGCCTAAATACCATAACTGAGCTGTTGAGAACAACAGAAAGTGGGCAGAAAATTCAAAATTAATTTGCACTTCAGGAAGTGACTTTTATCAAAATTAAGTTGGGAAAACTTATGCAAATATTCAGAGTGAACTGAAAATCCATGTTTTCCACACTATGCAAACAGTTTGAGCCTTAAAGCATGAGGCCTTCACCAAATGAGAACAAAAATCTGGCTGGTGTAGTTTGGCAGTAGAATAAGGAAATCTGGAGGAAGTTAAGGCTGACTACTGGATTAGACCAGAGATTTGTCCAACTCAGTGACCAACAGCCAGTGCCTAGGGAGGAAGAAGGTCTTTGGTGATAAAGGTCCTTTGACCTTTCAGTGATCTGATTCGAAGGCAAGGATAGTGTCCTTGTGTTTAGTTACTTTCCACTGCAGACTAGAATCTAGTCTAGAATGTAGTCTTGGAATAATACCTCCAGTGGCACAGTAGAGCTTCTCACAGTCTGAGAAATATGGCATGAAATAGCTTCTCATGGAAGCTATTCTCTAGTTTGAAAGGAATCTGATGAAGACTGTCACGTCTGTCTTCATTTTGTCAGAATAGGCCACAAGTACAGATGGTTGTGCAATAAACGGTGAACAACTACTTTTTTTTTCTTATGATAAACCTGTCATAGTCCAAAAGAAGCATCTTTACACTGATGTTTTTAATGTTTATATGGTTCAATCCTCTATGTATGTAGCAGTGCACATGGTAACTGGCATCCTAATCAGTTATTATGATGAGTCTGGGGTAAAAATCTGCATAAATAACTTTTTGTCTGTCTTGGCAAGTATTCACACTTAGCCTGTAAAAAAGGTGACAGCAGCCTGTGAAAACCGCTTATTTGAGAACAATCTGATGAGTAATAGCAATTTGGTGAATTTTCCCTCTCCTATTTCTTGCTAATTATTCACTCTTTGTCATACCTAGAAACAAGAAGCTGGTTTCAGTCCTTTTCTTTTTTTCGTTTTATAAGGAAAGATGAAGAGCCTGAGTGGGGAGGCTGCTAGCAAGGGGTACATAGTCTAGTATTGGTAGTGATTGTGAGTTTAAGGACTGACTTAATTGTTGGGGGTTTTTCATGTCTCGTATGACCTTCAGATGGAGGAAGATGATGGGCTAGATGTAAAATGACAAGGTACTTTTATCAGCTGTGTTGTAGCTGTATGGGAATGACTCACTGTTTTGGATGTACAGAATGTGGAATCTCAAGCATTGAACCAACTTTTTATTTAAACTTCAAAGCAATCTGTCCTCTAGTTGAGGCTTGCTGTGACCTCTTTATCCACTACAGAGCAGCAGATGCAACTTGTAATTACAACACACAAACAACTATTATTTGTTGTGAGACTACAATGAAGAAATGTGTTTTGTATTGAAGTAGTTACTTGTTAAAAATATTCTGTTTGCCCCAAAGACTCCTATGGCAATTACTCTTCTTTACCTGGCCCTGTTCTGCTTGTGTGGACTGAGTGATTCAGAGTACTGAGAATTGGAGTAAACTCTCATATCTCTAGGTTTTTGACAATCCTGGAAATTTGGGTGACTGTTGGGTTGAACTATGGATCTGCAAATCTCTCTGGCTATTATAGCCTGTCCCATTTTGAAGCAGTGGTTGTATTGAGAAAATGAGAAGGGATTTCAACCTAGTTTGGCAAGTAGTTTCTTGTCATAATATGCTGATTTACCATGTTGGTTATATGTGGAGGTTCATGGTACTGCCCTTACTGGGAGTAAGTGAGTGAGGAGAGGTATATTTTCCTCTTTAGATGAGCTTAGCAACCTGAAATTTGCCACACCTTCTACTTGAAAGTCTCAAGTAGAGAGTTAATTGAGTCTTTGCAAAGAGTCCAAGTTATTTTGAGATGAGTGATTGTGAATTGATTCACTTTAAATATGGGGCAGCGAAAACTTTTGATTTTCAGCAGGAGCTCTGACTAAGGAAACCAGTTAGTGGACTGGGAACTTAGAGTTTTGAATATGTGAATCATTAGAGCAAAATCATTAATGCTATCAAGAATCTCTGTTTCAAAGGAATTTGGATGGAGAACTTCTAGAAATTTAATAAATAATACCATTATAAATTAAATTATATATATGAGGGATTTGCCATGAAGTCAGTTGTTCAAATTCTTTTTATTGCCCTTTCTTACTGTCTTCCTCTGTTTCCCCTTTCCTGCAATTTTATATTCCAGCAACTTTATCTGTCCACATGGATGCAGCAGAGTCAGAGCTACCAGCAACAACGCCATCCTTGAGATCCCAGAACTCTGAGTGGACTGGGAAAACACCAGCAGCTGAGAAATCTACTATTGCTGCCTCCAGTAACTTTTTTAAAATGCCACCAGAGAAGAGCCCTGGATACAGCTAAAAGGAAGCATTGTAACTGTAAAAGCTTGCTCAATTTTGGAAGTGTTTGATTCTGGTGTTTGTCTGCACTAAACATCTTGTTTGGCAGTAGTGGTATCTTCAGTATTGGTGCGTGATGCGTGCCATCGTCCAGGCTGGTCTGTGTGCCTCACACACCTAAGTCATGTTTGTGAATCTATGCTTAAGAAAAGGTAATCAGTGTTGGGACTGCAGTGGCTTTTAGAAAGTTTCCTGCTATCACTGTATTTATTAAGAATTCATCTCTTTTCCTGATTCCAGCTCATATGTAATGGGTCATGTACAGGTTCTTTTGGGTTTTTAGCTGTTTATCCACCCCCTGGACATGTTGCTTGTTTGTGCATTTTCAGGGTGGAAGTCCCACTGCCATTCAGGGAGGCAGGAGTCTCCCTCTGCTTGCTTCCTGGCCAGAAGGATTTCTTGGCTGGGGAATGAGGAGGGAATTGAAAAACACATTGAAAAATGAAACCTGAATCCTGTATTAGCAGAATGTTTTCTGGCCATGTGCTAATGGACTCAAATCATGTTGCTTCTGGAAAAGCAAATATGGTGCTTGTCTATGTAGAAATTGCCATTAGCTCACAGGCAGCATTTGTCCGTTAGACCTTTTCCTTCTCCCTTGTTCTGAATGTCTTCAGTCTTGTGTATTGCATGTTCATTCCTAAACCTCCTACTGGATAAGGATTTGGGAGAGCTACTTGGATGTAAATGTGCAAGCTGGTGTCCTGGATAGAAACCGAGATCCTTGAATATTGTTGCAGTATGGTAGAAGATTACACAAAACATCCGTATCTCAGTGTTTAAATTAAAAAATGTCTGTTAGTGTTTCTAAAGGATGCTTGTTGAAGTTAACATGCCATTGAACAAAAAAGCCATTTAAAGTGTCACCTGAGGTCAGAGCGTTATGGGTATAGATCAGACTCCTTCTGTATCATGCTCTCTCTCCCTTCAAAAGTACTGTCTGCTATACCTACTGGAGGTGTCTCCACCTGCTGATGACTGCACATTACACTGCAGTGTACACTGAAGAGATTCTCTTCATAGAACTTCCACTTGGTCTGCTGTTACCTTCTGTGTTGCAGAATATATGGACAAGGGTTTCTTCTCTCTAATAACTATGGAGCTTATCTTGGACATATGTTTTCAGAATATGTACCTGTATAGTATGTGCCAAGGAACAAGTGGCCTCACAGCTTCTTAAATCCTTTAAAAACAGGATCTATTTGTATGAATAGAACTTTTTGCTTTCCTTGTGTGGAGCTTTCAGACAGGACAGTTTAAACTTGTAAAATCTATTGATTGTGGCTATGCATCTAGTTCTCTTAATCAGATAGTAAAATTTGCTTGATTTTAGTGATTTTGCAGTGTTCTGCTCTCCTACGAATCAAGTGATTGAGGGACAGATTTTATTGGGGGAACATGAAGCAGTGATTTATATTAACTGTGTATTAAAATGGGAAATGGTCATAATATACATGAAACAAACTGAATGACTTGCTAAATCATGATTGACAAATATAGTTATACTATATGCACACTAATGTATGATCCGCTAATACCTACTTATTCTTGGGGAGACATCCAAATTGGATTTATATTTTGCATCACAAGCAAACTGTCAGATCTGTCACTATAAATCCTTCTCAAAACTCTTTTTTATTCTTTTTTATTTTTTTTTTATTTGAGTGGTACATTTTAGAAGTAATTAGAACAGGGAAACCCTTCTTACCTTAATGAAGGAACACAGAAGTCCATTTGAATTACAGGACAAGCTGTAGCAGTTTGTGAAGGAAGAAGTGTTCCTGTTTTAAAATTGTCATAGCTTGGTCTTACTTGTAGCTATTTTGAACAGTGGTGCCTAAGGGGTAACACAGGAAATTTCAGCACTGGAGGGCCTGTAATGTAAAACATCTGAAGAGAAGGTAAACCTGCAGATCAGTGTCTAATACTCATGAGTACAGTGAATGGGAAAGGTGGTCACGTTCTCCTGACAACTTGCAGATAAAAGTTAGGATTTGAAGCCTTGTAATCTAAACTGCATGCTGCTCCAATGATAGGATCCCTAAAAGAGCATTTGTGAAATTGAGTGGTTTTGATCTCATGGAGTATCCTCTACCACCTCTCTTAGTTTGAGTCTATTCAACAGACTTACTCAGAATACCGATCAGTCAGCTAAAAGTTTATATTTTACGCACTGTATTCCCTTTTAAAAATCAATTGTGATATATCTTGCTACATTCTGAGTATTGTCCAAAGTAGTTTTTTTCTCTTCTGTGATGTCAGGATGCTTTAAAAACTTTTTCAAGAAAGGTCTTAGGGAATCAAGAGCCTTTTTCTCATTGTGGTGTTGGAGGGGTGGGTTGCAATGCATCATGTGATTTTTCTCAGGGGGCAAGGAAAGAGAATTTGTCAGATTTTCCTATTGAGGTCAGTAGCATCTGGTTAAGCCCTTACTTAGGTTGTAAGCTCCTAGGAGGTATTTCTTGCCTTTTAAGGCTGATTGTACCCATGGCTGTAGTGCAGAGCAACTGTGGCAGGTCTTGTCTTGACAAGCCACACTTCCTGCCATGGCAACTTTCTGGATGTTCCAGGAGACTCCAACTATTGCAGCTGTCCTGTCTTTCCTATTTCTAGGTTAGACTCCATTTACAAGGTAGTCAGATTCTCAACCAAATTTGATTGTCCTGAGTGGTAGGCCAGCTAAATGGATCATGTATCGTGTTACTCCAGGGTATTTATCAAAACATATCTTCAGATTATCTCATATTTAGTAACTTGATACAGATTTTAATATCTACAGTATTTTTAGATGAATAAAGTAAGTCCATTGTTTTGCCTCTTTTTTTCATTTAAGGCAGATTTCTTAGAACTCACTCTGCTCACACAGAGAGAGTTCACAGTGTGAATGCTATTGCTTCCCATGTGGATTACTTGAGTAAAAAGGAGTAATAGCATGCTTTGATTCGGTAGCTGTGCTTCTGTGAAGGTGGTCCAGTGTGTGATTATTGCTTCAAAGACACACAGCTTACTAATATTCCACTTCTTGTCCACCAGGACTCCCTAGTCTTTTTTCAGTTTTGTTTTCTCTCCAGTTGTCACTCTCCTTGTCCTTATGGGACACTTCAACTTCTCAGACAGGACCTGGGAATACCATACTACTGTGACAAACAAATCTGGAAATTCATGAAGTATTTTGAAGATAATTTGTAGTCACAAGCACTCAGTGAGCCAACTAGGAAGGTTCTTCTCTTAAACCTGTTATTTATTAATAAAGAAGGATTTTTGAGAGATATGTTAGGTGGCTGCTTTTGCCACAGGATCATGAAATGGGTAATTTTAAAAATTCTGATTTTATGAGGAAAATGGTCAGCAAAGTTGCTACCCTGAATTTCAGCAGAGCTAACTTCAGGTGGCTCAATCAGCTAGTTATTAGTGTGCTATTCCTTGAGTGCTGGTCAGTTTTTAGGAATCACTTTGTAAAAGCACAAGAGCAGGTGATCTCTCTGTTGAAAGTCAAACAAGCCATGCAGAAGACCAGCTTAACTGAACAGGGAACACCTCTTGAATCTCAGAAAGGGAGATAGTATGATCTCTGGTAGCAAGGTGAAGCTTCACAGAAAAATTACAGAGCTGTAGTTCACATCTGCAGGGAGAAGATATGAAAGACCAAAACTTAATTAGAGTTGAAACTGGCCAGTGTTGTGTCAGACAAGCAAGGTTTTCTGAAGTACATAAATAGCAAAAGGAGGTCTGAGGAAAACATTGGACTAATATTTGTTGTAAATGATCACATTACAAATTGGAGTAAAAAAAGTGGGGCCATTCAGTTCTGGTTTTTTTGCCTTGGTCTCTTACAATACTGACAGACCTTGGGCTGCCCTGTCTTCTGATTTGGAGGACCATTACTGTGGGAATAATGATTTTCTGTTTGTGTATATGGAGATTGTAAGGGACCAGTTGAATGTTTGTATGAGGCCAGGTAGGCTTCATCCCAGTGTACTGAAGGAGCTAGTTGTTGTAGCATGACCTCTCTCAATCCCTACCAAAGCTTTTGGGAGTCTGGGAAAGGTCCATGTTGACAAGAAGCTACTCAGCATTATTCTAGTATAGAAGAAGGGCACGAAGCAAGAAACACAGACCTGCTAGTCTAGCCCCAGTACCTGGAAAAATTATAGAGGATATCATACTGGTGCTACTGAAAGGCATTTAAAGTCCTTTAAATGATAGAATCATAGGATATCCTGAGTTGGAAGGGACCCACAAGGATCATCAAGTCCAATAAAAAAAGGTCTGGTGGGTGTTGTGGTGGTTGGCGGCTGTCTTGGGCATAGTGACCATGAAATGTTAGTTTTCAATACTGGTTGACGTAAGGAAGGGCACCAGCAGAACTGCCACCATGGACTTCCAGTGGGCAGACTTTGGCCTGTTCAGGAGATTGACAGAATTCGTTGGGAGTCAGTCCTGAAGGGCAAAGCAATCTAGGAAGGCTGGATGTACTTTAAAAGGGAATTCTTAAATATATTCCAGAGCAGCACCATCTTAGTTCTTCTTTGGATACTCTCTAATAGCTTTATGTCCTTCCTATATTGTGACACCCCAAACTGCCCACAGGACTCGAAGTGAGATTGCACCAGAGTGGAGCAGGATAATCCCCTCCTTTGACTGGATCATGATGTAGTTTTAAAACAGAGCAAATAATAAATGGCAAGTTGGTGAAAGCTGGAAGGCATATCCTGTGGGAATTGGTGAAGGAATTTGGTTTCGTCTGGTTTGGAGAAAAGGAGACTGCACTCTACAGTTTCCTGAGGGGGTGAAAGTGAAGGTAGAGGCGCTGGTCCCTTCACCCTGGTATGTAGTCACAGGGTACATGGGAATGGTTCAGAGCTGTGCCAAGGGAGATTCAGACTTGACATTTGGAAACACTTGTATACATCTTCCATACAGAGAGGGTGGTCAAACACTGGAGCAGGCTTCCTAGAGAGATGGTTGATGCCCCAGGCCTGTAGGGGTTTAGGAGACGTTTGGACAAACCCCTTATTTTAATTTCTTTTCAGTCCTGAAATGGTCAGTCAGTTGCACTAGTTATTAATTTTAGGTCCCTTCCAATTGAATTATTTTATTTTAATCATTAACTTCATGATGTTTCTGTCCTTTCATTCCTCCAATCTGTCCAAGTCCCTCTTGGTGGTACTCCCACCCTCCAGCATATCAGTGGCTCCCTTCCTGAACATGCCATTATTTCTGATTTTGTTGGGAGTATTTTCTGTCTTTTTCCACTGGGTCACTAATGATTTCTGAACACTATCAATCCCAGTATTGTCTTCTGAGGCATGCTTTTCATAAATGGCCACCATGCAGATCTCAAAACATTGATTGCTTAACCTGGCCCGTTTCTCTCTGATCTTTCTTGCTGGATGCTGTCCAGTCTGTACCTCCCCCATCTGGCTTTGAGGGTGCTGTGAGAAACTGCATCAAGAGGCTTATTGAAGTCAATGGAGACATCACTTACTGCCCTCTGTGCATCCTCAGAGCCTATCATTCCATCATAGAAGACAGGTTCATAGGCTTGATTTTCCATCATTTAATGTCTGTTTGTTCCTAGTCATCTCTTTGTCCTTTGGGTGCCTAGAAGTGGCTTCCAAAACTTGCTTCATAAAGCTGCAGGGGACTGAGGTAGGGCTGACTAGCCTCTCACTCCACCAATACTCCTTCCTGTCTTTTTAAAAAGGTGATGTATATATACTTGTCTCTGAAGACCTCATGCAATTGCAACTGGTTTTCTTAGGTGGCAGTGGCCAATCTCAAAATTACATACTTCTGTATATAGGGGGAAGATGGACATTCTGTGAAAGAGAAACCAAGAGCTGAGAGAAGTACATTTTCTAGTTGTTCTTTGCATATTTCCAGCAGTTCCAGTGAGCTCTAGCCAGGCTTAATGCCCAGTTTGGTTGGTACTGGAGAGGACTGAATTAAAATAATGTAGTTTCTGTCCTGATGGATTTTTTATGATTTTAAGGTACAGTAACAAATGAAGAAAGCAGCAAAACAGGAGCTGGAGAGAAACTTGTTACAGGCTGGGACTAGTGCTACTGAATGATAGATTAGCTTTGTGATTGTGGTATGCAGAGGTGTGTCTTGCCAGCATCACTCTTGAATAATGACATTGAGTAGGTTAGTGCTGTCCTTCAAACTGCAGGTGCTCTTGCTGTTATTTTGTGGATGTTGCAGAGACCTGCTTAGTGGGCAGAGGATGAGAAGGGAAATTGTAGGAAGGACAAGAAGAAGCATGATGGAGTGCCTCTTCTATTGTAACCCCTTCTGTACTGAAGAAGGGAGATGCTACAAAACGCAGTATGTGTGCTTAGATATTGGGAAGAAATTATATCAAATCTATAAGAACTTTTCTTTGTTGTCTTGAGGAACAGTTTGTAACCAGAGTTTTTCACTAAAAGTGAAGGATGCTACATTTGTTCAGAAAATGTGTTTTAATAGTCTGTTAGGAGACTATCAAAGGAAGATGAACTTCTGTTTTCATTGTTACCCTTAATTTCTGTGTCTTTGTTTCCTGTATTCTGTTCCAGTTTGTGTTTTGTGACTGTGACATCCTTTTGTACCATCAAATGCAGGAAAAATACTTTACAGTAACGCTTCCTAAGGCATAAAGCATAAGAGGACACTTTCTATATAGGAGGTAAAACAAGATTATCTTAGGCCATTAACTTTACCCAGTACAGAAGGCTTGAACTCATCACAGAGGACCTAATGCCTTAATTTTACCAAGGCATCTCTTTTTTAAGAAAGTGAATAGTGCCACAGGCAAGTTCAGGGAGACTAAACTGGCACTATTGCCTCAAGAACCAGGTGTGGCTGGGCCTCAGTCACATGACATAAAATACAGATTTACATTGTGGAGACAGAAGGAATTTTCAACATCCTTCTCAGCTTTAATGTGACTAGGATGCCTTCCCAACTGCAAACATAGCTGTCACTGTGAGTCCAGCAAGTTGGAAAGATGTGCTCACTGGCATACTATAAAGAGAATTCTTGTACTGACTTAAAGAATTGGTAAAACTGGAAAATGGACTGGTACAGCCTGTTATATCAGAGAAAGATGCAAAATACACTTGCAGAAAATAATTAGGAAAAGTATTGCTGAGCCCTATGTGTTATAAGCACAGTATTCAATGTCCTAAAGCAGAAATGCCAGTACTGTGAAGATCATCAGTGTTTTGCAAAGCTGCCCTCTTGTCCTTGTAACCTCTGAAGGAAATGGGATGAACAGCATGAAAAAGGCTGTACTGTGTCAGACTAAAAGTCTGCTTGTCTTGGTAGTCTGTCTCTCACAGTGACCTGGTTTGGATATCTGGGGGGTACTGTAAAGATGAAGCAGTAATATAGTGATACTTTTTTTTAGTGTTCTCTTAGCCCAGTGATGTACACGAGATGTACAAACTTTCTTCAAGGCTCGAGAAAACATTTTTGAACTTTTGATTATAGTATTTATCCTGCAACTGGATTCAAATATATTTTTACAAGGACACATCCTGATGATGAAAACATCAAGTAAGGATTAGCATATCTTTGTTTGTAATCAATTTTCTTATTAATTACCCTCTTTATAAGTAAATAGCATCTTCTCTTGGAATACTTTTTTTTTCCTAATATCAGCATCCTGACATTGTTTCTTACAATGCTTTTTTTTTTCAGCAAGGTTGAAAAGTCTTGTTCTTTCTTTACGATGAGGCTTTTTTGACATGTATTTGTATGCCCAGTCAACAAGTCCTATGTAACCCACTAACCCATATAAATCATTTCTCATAAGCTTCATACTGTAAAACTTGTCATTTAACCTTTAATTGTGCTCCTGCATGAAAATGCCTGGTATTCCACATCCATATGCATTCAGTTCTAGTGTCTACACTTAAAGTATTTTTCAGAGTCACGGAGTAACTGTTAAGAGTCACTTACACTTCCTATAGAGTGTTCTAAAACTGCTATTCAGGCTTCATATATTCATATATCCAAATATGCTGCTAGTCTTTGCTGCCCAAACGCTGCTGTCACACTACCATAGGAGGTGATGTTCAGGCAGTTGGGTCTGAACCTGAAGTTCTTACCACTGATTTGCAATGTACAAGGTCCTAGAAAGTAAGATTTTTTTTTTTTTTTTAATTCAGAAATTTATTGCATTTCCTCTGGCAATGTTATAGCACAATTTTGTACCAATCATATTTATAATTGTCAGTACTCGAGAGCTCGATTTGTTTAGTTTTATCAGAAGAGGATAAGAGAGTGTCATGCCTGTGTGGTAGAAAACCTTTTATGGTGTTGGAAATACTAAATAATAAACCATCTTTTGTCTTGCAGATGGGCATAAAAATGAACTTGGAGCTAAAGCCTAGGTTGCCTAGATTGGTGCATGTGAGATTTCATTGCTGGAGGCATTTCTAAGAGAGCCATGATCTGAGACTGGTCTGGCCTGACCAGAGCCCTTGGGCACTGCTGAAGTCCTTGAATTTTCCCTCAGGTTTTGACAACACCAGACAGTGAGCCAAAGCTACTATCAATTGCATTTTAGCTTCCTCCTGCTGTCAAAGAGGGCTCTCCTAGAGATAGCTCACAAACACACCTACTCAAAGTCTGTGGAGAGCTACCTTGTGCATGTCCCATATATTTTATGAGGTCATAAGATCTAGCTGTTTGATAGGGGTTGGACTCTGGGTTCTTGGGACTCTATTTTAAGGTTAACATGTAAATAAGAAGGATTCCTGCTTGTATTCCTCTGTTTTAAATAAGATGTGTATTCTCTGAATGAGGCTCTTGCAGAATCTCTGTTCTGATTATAGAAACTGGAAATAAATCAATATATGAAAGAAGTGTTTTATCTGATATAAAGCGAACTGAGTTGAGAGTGGGGGAAGAGAGGTTTTGCTGACATCTGACTAGATTTACAGTATTGGGCTCTCCATTAATCTGCATGCTTCCTTGACCATTTCCGTAAGTATAAAGTATAAACTGTGATCTGAAGGTCTGTAGGGAGTTACTATGCTTTTCTTGCTTTGAATTGCAAACTTGAGTGAAGGATTTGGGGTAATTTATCATGTCTGTTCTTTGGAGTTTTTTTGTAATGATTTTGTTTCCCAGTTTGTCAGGACATTGTCTTTAGACAAGAGAGATACTCCCTGTTTGGAATTGGAAACAATTCTAGAGTTTCTTAAATAGTCTTTCATTTCTAAGCCACTGCTTCAGATCTGCCCAGTCCCAAATAGGATGTCATTTAAATGGGCAAGTCAGTTTCAACTGATAGTTTCATGTATATCAATTCATTTTGCCAACACTAACATCCATTCAAGTAGATTTGCTATGTATTAATGGAGAACTTCTCACATATAAATAAAAGGTATTTCAGTTCTGGGGTACAAGCTTTGTTCTCTACTGGCATCGAACAATTTCCCAGTAAGAACAGATACTTAGTTTTTTAATGAAATGTTTTTTAGGGTTTCAAAGTGGTAAACTACATTAATTTAATTCATTTTTAGTGGGGGAGTGACAGGTGTCTAAATATGAGAATGTGGGCAGATCTTAGGAGTTGCTGCAATAGGGCAGATGTATCACACAGAGTTCTCAAAACACGCTTTAAAAATTTTACCTGGAGATTGGAGAATTGTACCTAAAGATTGGAGAAATCTTCCTCTGAGAAGTGTCGTAGCTCACAGACTGCCTGCAGGTGCAGTGATGGCAGACCGGTGTTTCTGATAAACTAATGCCAGCACTGACACTGATGTTTCCCTAGTAATTTTGACACCAGCTTCCTGAGAGGTTCACCAGTGTTGCCTTAGGGCTCTTCATCCTGCTTCACAAAATAATTTGCAGGTGGTTTGACTCACCTAGCCTTCCTCCATGAGGAAACACATGTTCCCATTTTGAGCCAGACACTCGTACTGCTGAATGTTGTATGGTGAGTGAAAGAAGTCATATGTTTTCTTTCTTGGCCATCCAGTGAACAGTAAGGGCAGCTTTTGTGAATCTTTTATCCCTTTCTGGTCCTTTCAGATACTGTGGAGACAGGAAGGAGAGAATAAGACATGCAGGGTTTGATTCCTGGGTGGGGAGCGAGGGCCATGAGGTGTGGCTGTTGGCCTGCACTCAAACAATGCAGGGGCTACCTGGGGAAGGTGACATTTCACTGTCCTCCCCACACTGATAGGCTGCATGACATCTGCTTACATATGTATTTAGACATTTAAACAAGAATCTTCTTCAGCACCCCCACCCACCTCTCAAGTAACAAAGGAACCAGAATATTTGTGCTCTGATGCCAAGGCTGCAATTTGAGTGGCCCATGTTGCTGTAATCAGTGCCCTTCTGCATGTACAGTGCAATGCAATCAGGCATTTGGCATGATTTGTTGTTGGGTTTGAGGGTTGCCTGTCTCTGCCTTTCCATTTGCCCCCTTTCACATCCAGACTCCACTCTGAAGAGGAAAAAAGTAATTTCCTTGTTAGTATCTTCAGGGTACCTCCTGCTATGACAGCATGAATTTGTATGCTGAACATTTGGACGTTATTGTCACCCTTATTGTATAAGTGAGGAGTCTGAGACTGAAGCATAACCCAGGAGTTATCTCTGAATTTGAGGAACAGAGACACTGGCAATTTTCAGAGATTGACTTTGTACCCTTTTACCTTTTTGTAAGTTCAAATCACATTTCCTACAAACTTTCTTAGCAGCTCTAAGTGGTCAGAGCTTCTGCGCGTCCAGCCACAATTACTGATGAGGTGAGGAGCACTGTCCTTATCGATGAAGTCTTTCATGACATGATTCATTGGTGTGCCTTCTCAGCTAAGAGAGGGATGGCAGCAGGCAGGCATCTCTCCAGGGCTGGTGGTCAGTTGCTTTCATCATGCGAATCTGGAGAGCCTCCTGCTTTGTCCTTTCTGTCATTGAGTCAGACTTGTTTGTGCTCATCTCCTTGAGTTCTTGCCCTTCACCTCTCTGGAGGCATGCTCTTCAATGCTCTGTAGAGAGTTAGTCTCAAAACCAAAAAACTCTGTAATCATTTGATTTAGCATTATTGTAAAGTGTATGGACCAAGGGACAGCTTAGGATGGCAGAAAAGGGATTTCTTCCCCTTTGAGTATTTTTATCTGTAACCAGATATATGTATACCTGTGTGTATATATACATATTATTTATTTTTGAGCTAGGACTTCTTAGTATGCATTCACTTTGTATTGGAGTTTCCTTATAAAGGTATTTTAATTTCCCCAAATATGTTTTGTCCCTGGAAATACTATGAGTCCTGGACCTCAAAGGAATTGAAAGAACATTCCCAAATGCATAGTTTCATTTACAATCTGCTGTGAAATAACTTGTCTACTGCATCTCAAGAAAGAGCAATAGGTAGGTGAAAACTTGCTGTGTAACACTCACACTTCACTCACACTTCATATACTTTTACCTGAACATCATAGGATGACATGAATTTTGACTCATTTCTTGCAGTGATATTTCAAGTATTGTCTCTTGATTCTTTTCTCTAAACTTCAAAGTAATGATTGTCTAGTGAAGTAAACCTGACTGTTGTTTAACAAATTATAGACTGCCTTCTAATTCCCAATTCAGCAAAGTTTTAAAATATTAGAAGTCTTAGTGTATATTTTGGGAATAATGCCCTTGGAACCAGAATCAGTCATCTGACTGAGCTGTATTTGAAAAAAGGAGAAGGGTACAAAGAGAAAATGCTACTAGCTATTGTCTTTATTATCCCAAGTCTTGTTCTGTTCCCTGCATGGACTCTTGGTTTACAACTCACAGAGAAGTTAGTGCATCTTAAAAGACCAAAAAGACAAACACAAACAGCCTCCCTCTACAAACTTTCTTGTGTTTGTTTGTTAGATGTGGGTTGGCAGGCTCTGTTTGCAACTGAATACAAAGTGTATTTTCCTCATGTAAACAGATTCCATTAACCTGAAAGATGAAAAAATCAGAATGTTTGAATTTCCATTAATACCATTTTGGGACTGGACAGATAGCTGTGATTTTCTTACCCTTGCAGTAAAGTACTGCAGTCCACATCATTCCTTGCTCACACATTACACTTCACACCTGTGCTAAGTGGGCATTTTCTGAGCAAAGTGCATTGTTTGCTCAACAGAAGGATAAAAGATGACACATGGTATGTTGCTGTACAACTTATCTTCTTCCTGCTAATCGCTGTGGATAAAGTGATGATGGTGCACTGCTATATGACTCAGAAGCAACTTTGCTGAAAACCACAATTTTATTTCAGGTAAGTCACATCCCATGTGTATGTATACTTAAATGTAACTGTGTATTTGTTCCTGGGAAGAACCCAAATGCTTGTCATAAATAATTGACAACTGGAAGCATCAGAACTGATCTGTTTAGAATATGTCTACGCTGTCATTCTGCAAGTACCTCGAGTATTTAGGATATGGATGAGTACAACTTCTACTGCTTGTCACTGAACTACTACTGCTGGTAATTGAAAATTGGAATACAGTGTTCCCTGGAGAGTTTGTCATGGAGCTCAAGAGGTTAATATGTAGTTATGTGATGATACTATAATTTTATATGCATCTGCAGATACTGCTAATAGACATTAAAGTGGGCATTTACATCCTTATTATGGGTCAGTACTTGATGCCATAATAAAAAAGTCACATCAGAAAAGTACAGGATAAAAATCTGATTATGCACATTTTGGAATGTAAATGGCTTTAAAATTCAAATTGTCACCTGGTGGGAGGATCAGGAAGGAGTCAGAACAAGGGCAAAGGGGCAAAGCTGTGAGACACAAGGGGCAAGATAAAGGAGGAAGAAGAGACAGGCAGGAGTAGGCCTTTGCTTGGGTAGTTTATATCCATATGAATACTATACCCCATTATTTAAGCCCTTCATGTCATCTCATTAAACATAAGCTTTAGTGAAAGGTGGGCTTTGTAATGGGGTGTGAAGGTCAGTAAATTTCAGATCTTCTGTCTTTCCACAGAGTTCAAATCTGCTCAGTGTTGTGAAGGCTAAAACATCGTGTGGGTTAATGCAGAGTTTTCATTTGGAAAGCAACATCAAAGCTAATAAAGTTTTCAAGGCAAGACAATAGCTAAAACTCTCATAAGTCTGCCCTAAGTAAATATACAAATAATGCTGCAGCTACTGGTCCCAGAGCCTGAGGAGGGGAGAGTAGTGAGGGGACAGACTTTGAATTCTGAAGGGCTGTGTAGCTTAAAATCAGTGGAGAAGTACCGTGAGGACTAGAGCAGCATGTATGATGCATGTGCAGCTGAATACATCAGGATACAGTGAGTTCAATTGCAGATGCACACAAAGGGTTTCCAACATCACCTTGAGTGTCTGTGGAAGCTGCAACCCTATAGTATGTAGAAATTTGGAAGGGTGTTGACTTTCTGTTTCTGTGCTACTTTTTCATCCTAGCACATCCTAGAGCACTCTAAAAAGTCTGCAGTTGACTGAAATTTTAGGGTTTGTTTTTGCTGGAAATACAGGATGCAAGGCCGTGAAGTGAGGTAAACGGTTTATGATTGATGGAAGGAAAAGCCTTGTCCTTCCATCTCACTGCATTGTTTCTTCATGCTTGGCTGTAAGCTCCTGCTGCCTACCTTTCCCTCCTTTGACTCCTCTGAGCCACAGCAACCACTTTAACTGCAAAAAATGACTTGATTTCTGCTGGTTTAGTCAGTTGATTTGGCTTGATTGATGTGCACAAGGAGTGCTAGAGGCAGCCCAAGGTATGATGACAGGACTGGAACTGGGGAGTTGAGAGGTCTGGGAGAAAGTCCTAGGAATAGTGGTTTGAATGAGGGAGACTCACACAACTGGCAAGCACCAAGGT